ATAGATAGACAGACAGACAGACAGACAGATAGATAGATAGGTAGACAGATAGATCAATAGGTAGGTAGGCAGGTAGATAATCAGAGAAAGATAGAGAAACAGATGGAAAAAGAGAGAAAGAGAGAGAAAGAGAGGAGACCTCAAGCATCTTTCAGTCCATCAGTGGCTTCGCTCTGCCATCCCTGATTCACAACAACCAACCTCTCCTATAGGTTTCCTATTTTTGAAACTTCCGCCACCGCCTTGTGCGGTACTACTGGTATCCATTTTGAGGGACACATAGTCTTTTTCGATAGCATGTATGTAAATCAAAGGCCCTGTCCCATCCCCTGACTCTTCACACTTCGGCCTCCGCATAGACATAGCAATCTCCGGAGTCGTGCGCGTGGTCAGGTCCGCTGCCAAGGTTACCGTTGCTGAGGCACTGCGCTTGCCATTTGGACTCAGCTCGTCTAACCCTGGGAATTAGGGTGACCTTGATGGATTTCGTGTCTCCAATGAGTCATTGGAGTGGTTGGTTTCCCCTTGATATCAGAAGGTTGCTGGTTTTTTAGCCAAACATATTAATTGAATGTATCATAATGTATCCTGGTTCCAGCGTTCCCCTAAACCAAGTCTGGGATTGCTGGCGAAAAATCACATCATCCAGGTTACACTATTTCGTCAACAAAGAGCTGGATGTCTTATTAGGTAAGCAAGACTTTACCTGACCTATCGGGAGCCAGATGAGTATGAGTCAAGACTTTACCTGACCTATCGGGAGCCAGATGATGGCCACTCACATTTGGATACATGTGGGGCCTTGGTTCAAAAATGAGGTACTCTTGGACACATAAAACTAGTGACTGCAGATGACTGCAGTGATGTGGTTGTGAGTTTGCATCCTGATTAGAGAGGAGATCGGAAAACTGCCGGGAAAGTGGGCAACATGCTTGGAGGCTATCTCCAAGCTATATCCTCATTACATGTGTATCAAATTATATCCCCAAAACATACTGCATCCATACACCTGCCATTATACCACCATTTTGCTGTATCACCATCAAAATTTTTGCCGCCAAAAAAAAACGAAAACATATTTGGTTGATACATTTTTCAGGCTGAAATCCAGGGTTTTTTTTCCATGGTTTCCGTTTTTTTTCCATGGCTTCCATCCACCGTTTTGAAAAAACGGGTGAGTTCCTCACCCGCGACGCTGTGCTGCTGAAGAACCGAGTCTTCCCCCACGTTCACCCAATTGCACAGCGCCGGATCCGACTGGGCGGCGCCACCGGTTTTGGGTCCATGGCATGGGCATGGGACATTTAGCTAAAATACATATCCTAAAATTGGGATTTCACAGTACATATTTAACTATTTAAAATATATTTAAGTATCAAAGAATTGGAATTAAATCATCATACATGTTAATTTCACGGACTGACCAACTTGATATGATAGTTGGGTATGTCAGAAAATCGGGCATTTGCCAAACAGAAAAGGACGCTGTGCGCCCGTGCGTTTTGCACTGTTTTCCTTGCAGTATTTTGCAGTGTTTTCCTCTTGCAGTGTTTTCACATCATCAAAGGGCCACAATAGGCCACAATATGCCCAAATATGCCAAAATAGGCCACAAAGGTCTAAATAAACAAAAAACAAAAAAGACCAAAAAAAACGAAAAAACCAAAAAAAAACAAAAAAAACAAAGATTTCTAGAGACTGTAGGCATTGGGGGCATGTCTTTGTTTTTTTTTTTTTTGTTTTTTTTTGTTTTTTTTGGTTTTCCGGCCTTCCCTCAGATCAATTTCTTCCTCCGGACTTCGTTGTGTCTGTTTCCACATTTCGGCATGAAGGAACCCTTCGTCAACAATAAAATTAGATTCTTAAGAGGGACCTCTCTGAACTAAAAATCAAAATTATTTTGTTTTTTTGGGTTGTCTGGGGTGGAAACCATGTTTTCTAAATTTCTTAAACAGCAAGGCCTAATTTCCGATTTTCTGGAGGTGGTGGCTCTGTTTGTGTAATTTTCTTCTGAGCAAGGAATACCACCCTCTTTTCAAAGGAATGAACGAATATAATATATTGCATCCTTTTCAAGGAAACTTGCATAAAGGCATGCTGCACTGTGGTCTCTGAAAGAGCAACTGCTTATTGAAGAATACAGTGCCCTTTCAAAATAATGCTATATTTCCTGCAAGGAACACTATACTTCTTCAAATGGCAATTCCATGCATTGCGCTTTATTACAGACACATCACCCTCTTTCAAAGGGATTGTTATATATATGAAAGGGTTCCCTTTTGTACAACAACTTACTGTAAATCACACCATACTCAGCCATACTCTTTCACTAGGACTGCTGTGTGTCTTGAAGGCTACTTCTCAAAGAGATGATACATACTTTTGAAAGGAATATTGTGTGTGTAACTGTATATATATATAGTTAATAATATCATACAGTGAATTATAATATTTGAAAATTATATTGTATTTTCCAAATGAATAATATTTTTTCGAAGTAATATGACATAACACCGTTGTTTAAATCAAGATTTCATGAAACCATCAAGTACTGTCTGAAAGGAATGCCGCTTTTCTGAAAAACACTAATGTATATGCATATTTTATCTTAAGGAAATGCTACCCTTCTCTAAAAGGACTACTACCTCTATGGAAGGAATTACATATATGTTCATTAAAATATATGGAAGACAGAACGCACTTGTTCTAAATGAATGCTATGCACATCTGAGGGTCTTGCTTTACACTTTCTCAAAGGAATGTTGCTCCCTCTATAGAAGAATGTTGCATAGAGGCATGCCACAACTTCCTCAAGAAATGCCACATTCTTTCAAATTTTCAACGATGACTTATGAGAAGCATGCTTTGGCCCTTAGAATCTGAGTTGATGTTGTACTAGGGTTTAATAACACATTTTTTTTCAAAGGAACAATATGCTTACCCTTGCAAAACATTCCATATCTCTTTATGTAGGGAGCTCTGTCAGGAAGATGCAGTACTGCTTGGGGACAAAACGAAATCTTCTGTCAATCAAAAGTGCTGTTTCCTCTTGTTCATGCTTGCTATAAAAACCTGCAACATAGAAGCAAACACAACCCTATCATTTGAGCATGGCGCAACAGGGCAAAATTGAATTTTCTCTCTGATATTCACTGGCTAAATGACATAGAACCGTTGATACCATTATTTAGTTTCTCGCTGTGTATGTGCAATATGTTTTGTTTCTTGTGACCCAGCTGGATGAAATTTTTGAGGTATGCATATATATATATATATCATATAGATGAGATCTTGCAGCAACATCGCTGGTATATATATATGTATGATATCTTGATGCAACATCAGTGAAAAAAACGCACTCTCACAGTCCCCCGCTCTCAAAAAAATAAGTACTGTAGATCCAAGACTAAACCAGGGTTTCGTTTGGGGATTTGGGGATTGGATGATGTTTGGTGGGAATTGGCTTTGAGAATTCCCCACAGCTGGCTGGAAAATTGGAGATTGGGAGTAGGTCCAAACCCATTATCCCAGCCAAGACCATTCTGCTCATTCTTGGGATGTGTGATGCCAGAGTTTTCTTTTTGGGGTGTTGACCACAACCAAATGTGAAAACCACATGATGGCCACCTTGGTTGGATGATCTTCAGCCGGAGTGTGATGAATATGTGACAAGTCATGCGATACAACCTGCAGCAATAAGAACATGTCTTAAAACTCATTATATAGGGACTTTGTCAAAAATAGTGATTTATATGGAAATTACACGGGCGTGGGGCGTCCCCCTCTCTTGCCAAATTAGTGTGGCCAGTTCAATGAGAACATGATGAAAACCAGTGGATTTAGGGACACCCTCTGTTCAGACAAAAAATGTGAATTTGTAGGTAGACATATGCAGGTATGCATTTATGGATAGTTTTATATTATATGTATACATGTATCAAATAATGAACACCAGTATCGTTTTGTTTTGACCATCAAACACGGAGATTTAACAATCAAACAACTGCAAAGAGTTGATCAGCAAATCAGGATGTGGAGAGTTGCTAAAACTAAAAAAAATACGATAGAGAAGAATCAGCAACAACTACTGCACACTATTGCATTTAGTATTCTCAAAACAACCTTCATGTATAATGAAAGTGCGGCGTGAAAATGCTGCTGACCCCCCAGGTGCATACATTCATGATACTTCATCTGCACCCCCCCGTCTAAAACTCCATGAGCATCAAAGATCCATGGCCTTGTAAAATCAATGTATGAAACCCCCTCCCCACCTTTTTCTAAACAAACTTTTGAAGCCACATGCTGATAATGTACTAGGAGGACCCCCCTTCTCTTTAGGTAATCTCTTAATTTAACCAAAACAAATTCATACCCTACAAAAAATGCTGTTTCAGAGGGGGGGTGGACATGTATGAAAAATGCCCTGCCTCCCCCCCTCAAGATACATGTTAGGGGGTAGGGGATAATATCTCTTTCATCTCCCAACTGGTGCAGGATTTCTTCCATCCACAGTAGCTCCAGGAAAGGGACACTACAGTAGGGCCAAGGTATAGGACATGATCCACATTGGCACTCGAATATCACCCATTAGAGTAATTGGATTATGATTATGTAGCTGAAATGCTGATTTTCCATTGCCAGGTTAGTAAAGGGTACCTAGCGGCTAGTCGCAACCCAAAAACAAACAGAATGGACCACTTTCTGATGGCCATCTGGACCATCAACATAATTATGTTGGGGAACATGATCGAAACATATCTGTACAATGTCAAGCCAACATGTATATAAACCCTAGCCAATTAGTTGTGGGGCCCGCCAAGCAACTTCTAACCAATAAGGACGGGCCCAACGCTGACACATCAACCAGTGGATTTCTGGTATCAGATACATCCATTTCTTTGGATCACACTCGCATTTTAGGGTTGAAGCATGCTGAAACCAGAATAACGTTGGGTAACATGACCCTACCAATTGCTGAATCACAATGATTCACCACCATCAATCTCTGGCTGATTGAGCTTGTTGAGGCACCACATGTTGGGGACATGTTGTCTGTCCGGGCTGGAATGGATGGAATCAAAGCTGTGCCCTGTGGCAGGCAGAACGACGACTCAGATGTGAAGCCAATCTTTTTGAAGTGAGTCATACAGAAGTGCAACTACGAAGTCATGACGGAGCATCTGGACGAGAACAGCCTACACAGCCCATTCTCATCGCTGTGCAGCACCAGGACATCATGCAGGTCCACCTGGCTCAACCTGGATGCTTCCTCTTCGAGATCTTGGTCCAAATGCAGCTACCACTGATCCGCAAAGTCATCGATCTCACGGGCAAAATCCTACCTGTTGACTTGCGGGTATGGCACCCAATGGCAGTGAAAACCCTGGACGAAGCACCTTGGACTTTACGACCAGGATCCTTCCGATGTGCAAATGGATTTCCTCACACTGCGCATTTTGGACTTCATGATGGTCAGGTATGGTGTGGACTCCAGAATTTGATCCAAGCGGTGACACCACCAGCACATGCAGTGTTTGCTGTCCATCCAGCCTTCGCACAAGCTCTAACTGGACAACCGGCTATCGACAGCCCAAAGCCAACCAGATGCGGAAAGAATACAGCTGAGGCCTTTGGGCATTGGACTTTGCTCTGGGGTCATCAAGTCAGCACTGGACTTTGCTGGACTCACTTTAATGGATTTTCATCACCATGCAGCCAAGAAGCACACAGATTGGCAAAGGCAATTTCGAATGCGTTGGGGCTGGACTTTCACCCACCGCATTCAAAATCATGGATTGCCCAGATTGACTCCAACACGTGCGGAACTGTGGCGCTGGTGCATCTCTTTCAGCTCTTGAACCCTGGACTTATGGTTCCACCCACTGCCATAAAGCTCATACATGAGTGGATTCTGGCACATCCAGCACTGCAGGGAAGGATTTTCGCTCAGGGCCTAGCTGACCTGTCCACAGATCAAATGGCCAAACTCAAGCAACTCTTATTCGATCATGGAGTACCAGAAGCCAAAGTCGACGAAAGAGCCAAATTTGTGGTGCAAAAATTGGAAGCTCCGGCCATCATCGCCTCCTTTGCGGCCAAAAATTGCTGGGCGCAACTGAAGCTTGCAGCCAACAAGCCAGGGATTACCATCCGCTTGGTACTTCCAGATGAACTTGCGCGCCATGCTGAACGAATGGCTAACATGAAGTATGGAGCAGGTATCTCTGACCACAAGAGAGAGAAGAAAGTGGACAAGACAAGTCTCATGCCACCTCAACTTGACCCAGCAGCCGTACATCTTCAAGCAGGTCACTTCAAGGATGAAGACGACATCCCGGTCCCACAGATCCAGTATCAAGAGCTGCAAGTCGAAGCACATGGGATCGCTATTGCGACCAGCCAACAGAGATTACATTGGCTTCAGCACCAGGACTCCATCAGCACCTCAGCATTGGCCATCTTGCTGACCGAGGAGCTGACCTCTGAACAGCTGGAGAAGTTCAACATGACAAAGATTTCTTTTCCAGCCACCTACAAAGGGACGGGTGAACCAGTTCTCATCTTTGGCAGCTTGAAGAACCTGGGGGACAAGAAGATCAACAGGCACATGATTGGAGCCAAAACTCAGATCGACACTATCAACACGGCAGTCATCCGCATCCACGCCTACAAAGATGAACTTCAAGCTCAATGGCAAGACCTGGTGAAGTCCCCTGTGAGACTCATTAGCACCATCGTCCCACAGCTCCAATTATGTGCGGGTGAGGGCTGTGGCCAAGATTGTCCAAAGTCACATCCAGCAATTGGAGAAAATCTTGACTCCATAACCATGGAAGTTTGGGGCAGATCTTTTGGGAAACTTGAAGGTGGGCGAGCACCTGCTGCTGAAGCAACCTACTTCTCTGTGTATATCAGGGTGCCTGAATCCATCCTCAAGAGCCTCTTGCAGTCCAACATCACTGGTATCTACCTTGACCCACGCCAAGACAAATCCCCAGATGAACGATACCGAGTGATTTGGCTGTCAGTTCATACACTGGCAGAAGCGCAGCACTCCCTCAAAACATGTGCCAAAGCACTTGGACTTGTGCGACTGCGGCACAAATATGGATTGCGTGTTGAGACGGTGGACGAGGAGGCGGCTTTCAAATTCCTCAAGCCAGATGCCACCTACATCGCCACAAGAGTCCAGAGAACATTCCAACTCTTCCCATTGCCACATGGACTTCAACGAGCTGGGCTGATCAAAATTCTGACTGATTTGGAATGGGTCGCAAAACCACTCCAACCAGGACGCGGCCAACAAGATGGAATCTCTTGGATGGTGGGGTCCACCACAGCACCACCAGTGGCGGTCTTTTCCAGTTTTGGCAAGGAAGTCTTGATTACTGAGACCACCAAGCAGCAAGCTCCCACAAAGCCTTTGAACTTCCTGGCATCTACCAAAACACAGAAACACTTGCGTACGGAAGCCGGATCCTCCACTATGGCATCCACTGATCCATGGCAAGATGCCAGTGCGGACCCCTGGAACTCCTGGAAACCCACATCAGGAGAAAATGGAGCCAGCAAACCAGCAGCTGGGGAAAGTCACCTTGCTGATATCACGAACAAGTTAAGGGATGAAATTCAGACCACGATGCGCAAAGAGTTGGACGACTACAAGTCCAGCCAAGATGCAACTATGGCGGAGCACGATGATGCCGCAACAGAGCAGAGATTTGCTCGCATTGAGTCAACTCTGGGTGAGATCCAAGCTCAGCAAGGCCAGTTCAACCAATGGGTCACCCAGGTTGGCGAAGCCTCAACGGCAACAGAGACGGCAATCCAAACCATCAACTACACCCTGAGCATGCCTCAGCAGGAGCTCCACGGCTTGCACCACGAGATCAAGAATGTCTCAGACAGCGTTGGCCAAACGCTCCAGAAGACACTTGCAAGCCACCAAACTGAGATGTCGGCAGACTTTGCAGCGAGATTTGACAAGCTTGCAGCAATGTTTGCCAAGAAGCACTGCAGTGAATGACTAGACAGAGTGGGGTCATCTCGTGGACAAAGACGACCCCTGAACTCCTTCACACTCTGTCCATTTACTTTGCTGAGTTGGTGCCGGCTTTTCTTGTTCCTCATGCTGATGCCGTTCCGTATGGCGCTTGCGTTTGACTGCAATGGCACCCAAAAGTTTCTTTCTGAGAATGTTGTTGACATCCACAACTACGGTGCATTGGATGGTCATGGCTGCCTTGGGCTTAATGGGCAGCGAATCGGTGAGGCAACTCACCCCGGCCCAATGGAGTTCCTCACCATTGGGGTCACTAACCCTAGCGGTTTACGAAACAAAGAACAGCTGGCAGTTGAACAAGGGAGCGGCATCTGGAGCTACTCCGAGACGCAGCTCTCCACTGTCACACAAAAAACGGCAGCAAAAGCCCTCAAGTTCCATGCGGCCAATGCTGGAAGACATCTGAGGGTCCACTATGGCGCCCCAGCAACCTTGCGGGCCAGATCCACCTGGGCTGGAACATGGACTGGAGTGGCTTGTACAAGTGATCATAGCTCCAAAGCACTGCAAGTACCATGGCCAGACGACTTCTGGACTTCAGGAAGGGTCTTATAGCCACCCAACACTTTGTGGGCAACCATGTGATCACGGTCATCACCATCTATGGCCTGCCGCGGGGACCAACTTGGCCCAAAGCAGCTGAGCTCACAAACTCTATCTTGGACTTTGTCACAAAAGAGTTTGTTGTGGGCTACCAGGGCATGATAATCATCAACGGTGACTTCAATTTTGGCCCCCCTGAACTGCCTTGCTTTGACATATGGAGGGCCTATGGATTTTGTTCTGCGCAAGAATATGCCAATCAGCGATGGCACCAAGCAGTTGCACCCACGTGTAAGGGGGCGACAGAGAGAGACTTATTGTGGATGTCCACAACGGCTGCAGCACTATGTCAAAAAGTTGGGGTCAACGATGTCTTCCAAGACCATGCCTCGGTCTATGTCCAGCTCAACATCGACGCCATGTCACCGACGCTGAAAAGCTGGCCACGACCACGTGAAATACCATGGTCGCAAGTTGAAATTGAAGAATGGCACCAACACTGTGAGGGCCTGGGCCTTCATGACCACTCAGATCCCACGCAAGCCATGAAAGAGCTCGCCAATTCTTTTGAAAGTTCCATAGCGGGATATGTACAAGACTTCCCGGCCAAGACCCTTTCTCCTGCGCACTGTGGGCGTGCACAGCGACTTCAACCGACAAGCCGAAAAACATCGTCCAGAACCTGTAGGGCAAGCAGACCGGGCGAAGCTTTGCTGGTGGATGACTTGGTGGGTCAAGCCGTTATTTTGGGGTGATTCAAACAGTTGCGAAGGCTCCAGTCCTTCCGCCATGCAGCCTGTGCGGGCAACATGCACCACGCTGCGGTACAATATAGAATCGAGCTCTGGACGGCCATCAAACGGGCGAAGGGATTTGAAGGCTCATTTTGTCAACGGTGGCTTTCCCAAGAGTTTGCCGAAGGGTTGGGACCTCTTCCAGAACAACCCCCACAAGCTCACCTTGCCATCCTCATTTACCAGGCTTTTCACCATGAGTTCCGTTCTTTTGAACAATGGCATCTACGCCAAAGGCAACAGATCCTGCAAGCCAAGTATGACAAGACGATGAAGGCTTTGTTGCAGGACCTGCAGGAAGCCTAGACCTGATCAAGTCGAGTCTTTTTGGGACACGCAGTCCTATGAAGTGGTCGCCATCAAAGAAGACACCAAGGGGGTACTACTCAAACAACCAGTGCCCCACCATGGAAATGGACAATGGTTCTTCCAGGGACAACCCCTGGCTGTGCATGGCTCCATTGAAGAACTTCTGATCTTGGACTCACTTCCTGAAGTTTACCCTGGAGATCACTTGGACTATCACCACCATACGGTCACCACGGACCAAGTGCATCATAACCTCATTGACTTTTGGAACCCAAGATGGAACTGTGATGCCCTTCAACAAGAAGAAACTTGGGCCCGTATGACGAGTTGTGTCAAAGCCTACGTGCCAAAGATCCCCATAGTTTTGCCACCGCTGACTGTGGAGACATGGCGCAAAGCGCTTCAACGGTTCAAACCACATGCAGCTAGACGAGCAGATGGATGGGCCAGATTGGATTTGATCAAAATGTCCACTACTCATGCCACCAAACTCTTGAAGATCCTCACTGCAATCGAGCAAAGACAGATGACGTGGCCCAAACAGCTCTTGGAAGGGCTTGTGATAGCCATAGAGAAGTGCGATGGGGCACACAAGCCAAACGAGTTTAGACCCATCGTTTTGCTTTCCATCATCTATAGATGCTGGGCCTCCTTGCGTGCGAGACAGATGCTGCAACAGATTGAGCCATTCATACATGCTGATGCACATGTTTTTTTACCATCACGTGAGCCAGCACAAACATGGTTGCAAATACAAGCGGCAGTTGAAACTTCACTTCAATCCACGATGCCATTAGCTGGAATTGGAACCGACTTTGTCAAAGCATTCAACTGCATTCAAAGAAAGCCGCTATGGTTTCTGGCCGACGCCTTGGGTATTCCAGACGGTTTGCTAGGGCCATGGCAAGAGTTCGCAGCGAAGTTCACACGCAGGTTCCTGGTGTGTAACCAAGTCAGTGACCCTGTGCTGTCTTCCCAGGGTTTTGCAGAAGGATGCCCGTTGAGCGTCCTGGCAATGGCTTTGGTGGGTTGGGGGCACCAGATATACCAACACCAATATGCAGCCAAAGTGCGTCACTTTTCCTTTGTTGACAACATCTCCATGCTGGCGCGCCAAGCTGAGCTGGTTGCATGGGCCTTCTTCACTCTAAAGGCCTTTCTGACAATGTGGGGGCTAAGCTTGGATTTGGACAAGACCTATGCATGGGGAACAACAACAGCAACGCGCCAACAACTTGGCCAACTTGGGGTGCGTGTTGTGCAAGACTTCAGTGAGCTTGGGGGCACCCTCTCATTCACAGCGGCACATCGAGTGCGGTTGTTCATCAAGAAAGGAGAGACACTGCATGACAAGTGGCCACAATTGCGACGATCAAGGGCACCATTGGCGCAGCAGATCAGGGCCTTACCAGTGGTCTTCTGGGCAAAAGCACTATACATGGCACTCTGAGTTGCGTGGCTGCTGACAGGCACATCCACAAGCTCAGAACAATGGCTGCCAAACACCTTGGAATCCAACTGGCGGGATCAAACCCGAAACTGCGCCTCTCACTTGCAGTACCTCACACGGCGGATCCGGGCTTCTATACCAGCTCCAGCATGCAGTGTTGGATTTCAAACGCTTCTGCCGGAAAAGCCTAGATTTGCTCAGCTTTTGGCGCATCTTCATGAGAAGATATATGACGGGATGTTCAAAGATGGACCTTTTTCCAAAATCCTGGCACTGCTAAACTCTGTCGGATGGCAAATTTTGGAGCCTCCTTTTTTTCAAGACCATGATGGATTCCACTTTGACTTGCTCAACATAGCCAAGGGAGCGCTCAAACGGCTGCTGCTCGACGCTTGGCTTCAACAAGTCACAGCGGAACTCAAGCACAAGACGATGGCAGACTTGCGGGGCATGGATTTGGACTTGACGCTCCTGGATCACGAGAAACAAACAGCACTCGACTTAGCCAGAACTCGAGCGCTACAGTTAGGAGCGTTTATCTCTTCCTGGCAACATGCGAAGTATGACAAGACCAAACAGCCGATCTGTCAGGTCTGCATGACACCTGACACTCAACAGCACTGGCTATGCTGCCCAAGATTTGCAAGGCAGCGAGACGAATGTGGGGACGCATTGCAATGGGTTGAAGACGCTCCTCGTTGCATAGCGCTACATCTTTTGGTGCCCATATCTGACTATGTGCTGCCATTGAAAAAGTATTTCATCGAGATCCCTGACTGCAGCAGTGCCTTTCTCAGCACTCCAAGGACAGGGGTCAAAAACCATGTGTTTACCGATGGATCTTGTTTCAAAGGGGCTGTTTCAATAACCAATAGACTAGAGCGTCATGGGCTGTAGTAAATGCTACCACTGGCCTAACCATAAGTAATGGATGTGTACCGGGGCTCCTTCAAACTATTGGAAGAGCTGAACTGTGGGCATGCATTTCTGCCATTTGCGTCGCGGTCCATTTTGACGCTGAGCTCATCATCTGGACTGACTCTGCGAGTGTCTGCAAGAAGGTGCAACAAGCTCTTAGCGGAGAAGAGATGCAACCTGAAGGAGAAAACCATGACTTGTGGGATCAACTCACAGACCTGGTAGCGCAGACAAGACCTGGCCAGATTGACATTCGTTACGTTGGACGGCATCACATGTGGACTATGCTTTGTGTGAAGATGCAGCCGAGGAATTCCTTGCGGTTTGGAACGACATGGCTGACCAGCTGGCAGTTTCCACAAATCTCCACAGGGGCCCAGAATTTGAAAATTTACTCCAGAGAGCGGAAGAGTTCTATACAACCTTTGGAAGCAACGACTTCAGGCACTACGAAGCTTCTACCTGCAAGTCGCACACACAACCAAAGAAGATCAAGAAGTCATTGATCTCACTGATGAACCCATTGCTTTGACTGAGAAAGTATACAACCTTGCACTCGGAGATGTACTACCAGTCAACTGGCAAAGTCAGCTGAGTTCGCAAAATGAGAGCATTGCACTGCCGGTTGAATTCATTTTTTCTTTGATCAATTTTTGCATTGCTGAGGAGCCGATGCAAACCAAATTTGTTGCAATCAGCTTTGTTGAACTGACCCTTTGGAGTGTACAAAATCTCAACGCACAGTTTCCAGTTGAGAGAGCCAAGAACGATCAGTGGATTTTTAAGCGCCCTGATGAGATGCTTTTGAAACCAACTGTCGCATCATTAACTCAGAAGGTGCGTCAAGGCCTCAAGACAGGCCTCAAGATGCTGGGTTTTGACAATTATTTGTGTTCTGGTTTGAACAGGCAAGTTGCTGGAATTGTGATTCCTGTTGACGGAGTGTTGCTGTCAATCCCAGCAGATGTCCATTTAGAGATATGCAATATCTCCAATAGATTTTTTTCCAAGACTGCTGCGCAAAGCTGCAGACTTTGGCAAAGCCCTGCTAAGGACCACAGACCACGTGCGACGCGGCACCGCAGCTGCTGTGCCCGTTGCACACAGAAGCCGTCCGAGATATATAAACCCTAGCTAATTAGTTGTGGGGCCCGCCAAGCAACTTCTAACCAATAAGGACGGGCCCAACGCTGACACATCAAACAGTGGATTTCTGGTATCGGATACATCCATTTCTTTGGATTACACTCGCATTTTAGGGTTGGAACATGTTGAAACCAGAATAACGTTGGGTAACATGACCCTACCAATTGCTGAATCACAATGATTCACCACCATCAATTTCTGGCTGATTGAGCTTGTTGAAGCACCACATGTTGGGGACATGTTGTCTGTCTGGGGGTGCCCTCAGATTTTCCCCCCCATTCTATGGCCACAAATCGGGTGGTAAATTCTCTATTCTCAGACACCCCTTATCCTATTGTGTCCCGAAAAAATGCATGGTGTTTCGTATTAACCATGCAATTTTTTTTTGTGGAGAAGTCCTCTGTCACACCAAAATCATAGGCTATCATAGGCTCCCTATTCTCGTTTGCTTCTCGACGCACGATTCCGCCTCAAAGTCGCAGTCCATCTTGATACTTGGAGAATCCAATTCCTGTGACGACAGAATCATGTGAGATCTCGGATCAGTGCAGAGGATTCCCGGGAAGCTGGGAGACTCTAAAGTTCTTGGTGGATGCTAAGTGAAACAGTTGTTTTGAAAAAGTTAATTTGGGACGATTGTGGGATGAATATGGGATGATTTATTTAATGGGATTTTTACTTGACTAACTCGCAGTGATTTAGGTGATTGATCAGCTCCATGATGACTCTGCCATGAGTTGGGGGTTGTATGTTCGTCGGTGACATGGTTGCCAACTAAACCTGACACTTGACATGATAGCTCTTTGAATTTGAAAGTTTGGCCCCACCAAATACTAGAAATCACATCAATCATCAGAACAAATATAACGAATCGTAATCGAGTCAATAATTAAGACAATATTAAATAATCATAATTAATAACTACCAGCAGCACAGTGAGCATAACCACAATAGACCAGAATGATAATAACCAGAACAATACTATTATCAGTGAATATCAATGGGCCATGTGTTTACTATATGTAGGTACACTAAATTCCAGAATATAGGTTTGGTTCTCCTCCAGTCTAGGACCAAGCTTCAGTCGACACTGTTAGGGGGATGGGGGATGGGGGATGGGATAAGCCTGGTTCAACTCCACTTCAGAGTCTGATTCAATTTGAGGTTGGCTTGGGAGGTCTAAACAAGTTCTCAGAAGGTATGTGGAGCACATTCGGGCCACTACATACCAGTTGGCACAATGAATGGAATGGTTTGTCTCGGTATTTTACTCCCCTGAGTTCTTCCAAGACCATCTAACATTGAACTTTAGAAACCTTGATTTGCCGGTTCATGGATGCTGAATGATGCTGAATCCCCAATATGCAGAAAATTTACTTTACTTCGAGTTATCCCCACCATGACATCTATACGTTTTGTTACTGGCAAATCTTCTGGCATTCTATCTGACATATCTTCTGGCATTTTATCTGGCATATCTTCTGGCATTCTATCTGGCATATCTTCTGGCATTCTACCTGGCATATCTTCTGCAATATGTTCTGGCATATCTTCTGGCACTCTATCTGGCATATCTTCTGGCATATCTTCTGACATTCTATCTGGCATTCTATCTGGCAAATCTTCTGGCATATGTTCTGGCAAACATTCTGGCACTTTATCTGGCATACCTTCTGGCATTCTATCTGACATTCTATCTGGCATACCTTCTGGCATTCTATCTGGCATATCTTCTGGCATTCTAATATCTGGCAAACATTCTGGCACTTTATCTG